CGCTGATGTTTGCCTTCAGTGCATTCGAGTGTGTGTTTACTTGTTTGTGTGCGTGCGTACACATGTGCTTGTATCTGTGTTTATTTATGTATTATCATCTGGGCTATGAGATACCACCACTCTTATCTTCGTTGTCTCCGAGTATCTTAATTTCTTTATCAATCTGATGCCAACTTTTTATAATAAAGGAGCTGAAAAGAGGAAAATAGAACACGTTTTTTTTAAGACATCTTACCACTTTGACTTTCGCCTGTTTGACTTCGTTTTGGGATTCTTAAAATGATAACGATGATGGTATTAATAACAACCATTAAAAAATATAATAAAACAATAATAGGGGTAGTAATGATAATAGTAATAAGGATAGAAATAATGGTAATGGTAATAATGAGGATGATTTGATAGATATAGTAATGGTAGTGATAACAATAACAATGATGATAACGATAATGATTATGGCAAGAATGATGGTAATGAACATGAAAATGATGATGATAGCAATTAATGATAATAATGATGTAAATGCCGATATTGGTAATTTTGATTACTATTATACTACAATACTGTTATTGTTGCTGTTATTATTATTATTGTTATTTCTGTTATTCCTGTTATCATTATATTCATTATTGTTATTGTTATTATTATTATTATTATTTCTGTTATTCCTGTTATCATTATATTCATTATTGTTATTGTTATTATTATTATTATTAATGTTCTGATCATTATCATCAGTTTTGTTGTTGCTAATAATAACGATAATGATAATAACAATAATCATGATGATGATGATAATGAAAATTTTAACATTGATAATAAAAACGGTAATGATGATGATAATGATAACCATATCAGCATTATTATCATCATACTAATATTTCAATGTTTTGTTTTCATTTTCTTTATTATTGTTACCATCATCATCAGCGCCATCTATTGTTAATGTCTTATCCTTTTAGTACAGAAATATGGCCCTTAATTATCTGTTGTTAATGTCTTATCCTTTTAGTACAGAAACATGGTCCTTAATGTTAATTACACTTTCACTGTTAAATGATATTTAGCAACTTGTTTATTGAAAGCAAAATGCGCAGAGTTGCAACCTCAATTTAAAAAATGAATGGAAGGGGAATGAAAGTGATATCATAATCAAGTTCACAAGGTTTATCTTATCAGCTGTAACCTTGAGTTCTCCTGCCGTGATAAGAGTCAGGAGGTCAATCTTGATAGATCTCCTTTCATTTTTGTTCGTGTTTCGGGTTCATGTCCCTGTCAAAATCTATCTATCTGTCTGTTTATCTATTTATTTCTGTGAATATCTCCCAATTCCATCTTTCTTTACGTGTTGTTTGTGTTTTTGATACCGTGACAGTGAGATTCATACAATCGGTATTTTTTATAATGATTACGTACGCAAACTCAGCTGATGCGACAGAACTAAAGCAATGAAGGTCGATGAAAACATGCGCAGGATAAAAGCAATAATTTAGGGAATAACCGAGAATCGAATTAGTGCCATGAGCAGGCCTGATGCTTGTAGGTGACACGAATGCAGATCAGAAATTTTCCTTTTTACGGTACAGAAGGGAAAACATGCGCAGGATAAAAAGCAATAATTTAGGGAATAACCGATGAACGAATTAGTGCCATGAGCAGGCCTGATGCTTGTAGGTGACACGAATAATCACTTAGGAATTGATAAAAATGGACTCCAGGAGATAACGTGTACAAGATATGTCGATATCTTACCCACTCGAAAGGAGAGAAGTCGAGAGCTTCAGATATTAAATACCATTTTCAGAAAGAATAAGAGGAAAGAATAGTGTGTGTCCTGATAGCATATGACTGAGTTATAGAGAGGATTTAGATATGATTATTTTCTCGCAAAGAGTTATTATGACGAGAAAGACGAATGACATCAGCAAAGAGAAGTAGAGAACAGTGAGGTGACGCAGCAGCCCAGCAGAAAAATGTGTAGGAAGGGAATAGAAAGAGAAGAATTTTAACTATGGCAAATGGCAGAGACAAGAGAGTGCAGAGAGGCTAGGAGACAGGGAACCATAAGCAAAAAAAAAAAAAAAAAAAAAAAAAAAAAAAAAAAAAAAAAAAAAAAAAAATAATAATAATAAATAAAAATAAAAATAAATATAAATAAAATAAAAATAAGCGTCAGGGGGGGGCAATAGTAATAATGGCAACAACAACAATCAGATGGATAATATGAGTAATGAGAGAGATGATAATAACTACAACAACGACAATTATACAAAAAAAACAAATGCATTTACTATTATTTATTTATTTATTATTATTATTTTTGTTTATTATTTATTTATTTATTTATTATTATTATTATTATATTTATTTTATTTATTTATTATTTATTATTATTATTTTATATTATTATTTATTATTATTATTATTAGCTATTTTCCAGGTTTTTTTAATGTTTTCTCTCTTCTCTCTCCTCCGTCAGGTTGTCGCCAGAAGAGAGCAT